CAGTGGGGGAGAGCCAGGGAGAGCTGGGGGACTGTCAGGGGCAGTGAGGGAGAGCCAGGGAGAGCTGAGGGACAGCTGGGGGACAGTGGGGGAGAGCCAGGGAGAGCTGGGGGATAGTCGGGGACAGTGGAGGAGAGCTGCGGGATAGTAGGGGACAGTGGGGAAGAGCCTGGGAGAGCTGGGGGATAGTCGGGGACAGTGGAGGAGAGCTGCGGGATAGGAGGGGACAGTGGGGACGAGCCCGGGAGAGCTGGGGGATAGTCGGGGACAGTGGAGGAGAGCCAGGGAGAATCAGGGAGAGTCAGGGAGAGCTGGGGGATAGTCGGGGATAGTCCGGGACAGGGAGGAGAGCCTAGGAGAGCTGGGGGATAGTCAGGGATAGTCCAGGACAGTGGGGGAGAGCCAGGGAGAGCTGGAGGATAGTTGGGGATAGTCTGGGACAGTGGAGGAGAGCCTAGGAGAGCTGGGGGATAGTCGGGGATAGTCAGGGACAGTGGAGGAGAGCCAGGGAGAGTCACAGAGAACTGGGGAGAGTCTTAGAGAGTTGGGGAGAGCCGGGGGTGGGGTGAGAGGTGTGGAGTGGGGGAGTGGGGGAAAGACGGGGACGGGGCCGTGCCTGTGGTAGCTGGGCCTCAGTACCTTGCTGTGCACGCGCACCCAGCGGCAGAACAGCGCGTGCTTGCACAGACGGGATGCACGGCCCAGCTCATCCTTCCCTGTGGTGGCATTGACGACCTCAATGGCTGCGTCACCTACTGTCCAGTTGACGCTGAAGTTGGGGGCCTTCCCTGGCTGCCGTGCCTCTGCATTGCTGATGCCTGAAATGGAGCAGACAGAGGAAGGTGACACGAAGCCCGTGGTCATGCTGGGGAAGGAGAGGATGGGTACACCATGCGATGTCAGCCATGGTCACGGAGCGACCAGTGTGGAAGGGCTGTAGGCTGAGGGGCACACAGGCACCCAAGCTGTGCCTGCTGTGCCGGTGGTCTCACACCTCATCACTGCTGCTGGCTGTGCCCTGTGGCCCAGAAAAACAGTGCTGAGAAACGGGCATCTGTGGACACACACTTGTTCAAGGCTAAGTCTACCGGCAAGTCTTGGGGCTGTAGAGCAAGGCACTCCAGCAGCTTGAGGGCAGGTGGTGGGTACTTTTGGAGTTAGTTAAGTCAGGGTCCCCCGAGGCCATGCTGGTGGGGCTAATCCTGTTGTCCTGTCTTCCCTGGTGCTCATGGCTTGCACACACTTCCCACCTCTAAGGGGGCAGGCATGGTCAGGCCACACACCCTACACGTGTGACACCCAGGAGGTGGCCAACTCTCAGTACGTTCCTATACACGTTTCCTACTGTATCTAAACTATCTCACATTCATTAATCACAGGCTCATTTGCTGGGTGGAAAGTTTTTAAAAAGACACTTGGATAACTGGGAACCGAGGTACACAGGCCCGTTTGTAAGCCGAGCTTGACAATCCTCATCTCACAGAGGCGCTCAGCACAGCTCATTCCCTGGGCTGTGAGGATGCTGCCCCCAGCACCAGCTCCTCCTTGGCTTCCAGCAACCATTAACTTCTCCCTTGAACAGAAGGTTAAATCCAAGATCCTGCCAGGCACGTGTCCAGAGGAAAGGCCTAGGCAGAGCATGGCATAGCTCCTGGACTGGAGTCCATGGGGAGAGAAGTGGAGAGAGAGAAGCTGGAGACCTGCAGAGGCCTCTGCCGTCCCAGGGAGGATGGTCCAGGCCAGGAAGAGCCTCCCCAGACAGCAGAGGGAAAAGTGCCTGCCATGACCACAGAGGACACAGACAGAGATAGCAGAAGACCACCGAACGTCTGGAGATGAAAACTACAATGAGTGAGATGAAAAATATACTTGCTGGGGTTAAACACAGAAGAGAAACTGCAGGGATGGTGCCTATGGCTCAAAGGAGTAGGGTGCCAGCCCCATTCACATGCCGGAGGTGGTGGGTTCAAACCCAGCCCTAGCCAAAAACTGCAAAAAAGAAAGAAACTGCAGAGGAAAAGGTGAGTGAACGTAAAGATACAGTAATAGAAACTACCCCAAATGAAACAAAAACAGAAAGAGAGAGTAGGGAAAAACAGAAGAACAGATAATCAGTAGGATGTGGGGAACATCTTAACAGGTGTAATTATGTATAATTAGAGCTCATGAAGGAGGAAAGAGAGAAGGGAGGACAGAAACATATCTGAAAAAAGCTGAATTAAAATTTTTCCAAATTTCATGAAATCTATAAGCCCACGGATCTAAGAATTCTAATGCAGCCCAAACACAAGAAATATGAAGAAAACTGTAAGAAGGCGCATCATACCAAACTGCGTGACAGCAGGGTCAAGAGCAAGTCTGCGACACGGCCTGAGGAGAGACACGGGCGGAGGAAGGAAGGGGGCACCTACAGGACGCAGGCGGACACAGCGGCACAAGGGCGGCATTTAACACACTCACGGGAAAGACCACTGCGTTTCAGCACAAAGACATCTGCCCACTGAAATATAGAGGCTGCCAAAGAATGTATGCACATTTTAATAAGGAAGAGACTATGAAAACTGTAATAATACATTCTGACAACATTTCCTGTGTACTGTATCTTGTAACTCTGGCAACAGCAGAAGTCACTGAGCATTGCAATTTTCATGTCGTTTCTTTTCTTCCTAAAATGTATACACATTTTTGGGCACCCTCTGTATATTTCAAAAAATGAAAGCAAAATAAAGACTTTTCCGTCCAATGTACACACCCCTATTATGAAATTAATTTAAACCTTTTATATGAAAGCTATAACCTAATAACAGCCTAAGAATATGGGGAGAGGGGAGGGAGAGGGGAGG